TTGCAGTATGTGTATTCTACAGAAAATTACAGCATGTTTTTCAGTGTCATGAAATCCAGTTCTCATTTAAACTTCTTAATGATTCCAAGTAAGAAAGAATAGCATGTCTTTTTGGAATGGACTTTCTTTAAATGGGGAAAGAAAAAAAAAAAAAAGAGAAAATGCAGTAATCATAGAAAAAAGACAACTGAGGAAGTAGTTTTATGTAGCATTTCATTTTAAGGAGTCGATTGAAAGTGTAAAGCATGTAATATTGCAAAAAAATTACAGTATGTTATTTTCTTTGCATGCATTAAGAATATTGCAAAAACTTTCCTTCTATATTTGGAAACTTGTCAGAATTTTAAAACTTGCTGCTTGAGTTTTAAAACTAATATTTCTGTCACACAGCAGTTTTATTACTTGGCAAAATTTACAAGACACTTTTTAATGTGGAGCAACCAGTACTACTACTTGTATTGAATAGGATGCTATTTTTATTAAAATGCCATTTTCTCAGTATTATAATGAGTCTCTGGTACTGGGGCATATCAGAAGATGCTCATGTAGTTGAAAGCTTTGATTCTAATATTAGGAGAGGTTTGAGGAGTTAGAGTAGGAGATATACTTGATACCAAAGATATATGACTTATATTTCCTTTTACTTTTTTTATGCATACATATTATCAACCAACTTCTTCCATATGTTTGCCTTCACACTGTTCTACTTTTTCATGAGCTGTAATTTAAAAAATGTTGGCTCTTTAGATCTATCACGTATGGTTTAATAGTACAGTGACATCAGCATGATAAAAAATTGAGCTTATACACACCTACTTCCCATAGGCAATATGGGGATCTACTTAATTCAGTGACACAGTAATGCTAGCCTTCCTCCATTGTCTGCAAGTCAGAATGCCCAGAATAGTTTAGTTTCTAGTATTTTTAAATGTAGAAATTAACAACAAAAAATTTCTAAGGCTGTGCAAATTAAGAGCAAAACAATGTATTTTTTAGTAATGCTTAGATTTTGGACCTGATAATTTTCAAATTGTACGGAATTATTTGCTGCAATGGGAGAGAGATAGATGCATAGACTTCCGAAGAAACTATAGTCTTTAAAGTGGTATTTTGTTTAAACATAGGCGATATTAGAGATATATCGATGTGGTGTGTATGGTATCTAAATATGTTTAAAATTAAAATGTACAATAGGTTTAGTAGAATTAGTTTGCTGTTTTACATTCACTGGGAACAGCATGACCTATATTCTCTTGCAGTTTTGCTGTTTTCCCTTAGGGTGCCCTAAAATTAAATCCAATGTAATTTTTAGTTGTAGTTTCAGATAGCCCTACTACTTCACAACCTACTGCTGTTTATCAGATGGTGGGTGATGATCGGTGACTGCCCTTTTAGAAGGAGGAATCTGTTCCTTTATTTTCTTTTAACCTCTGTTCAACCTTCAGAACTGAGGTTCAGACATAGATTTTCAAATAAATCCTAGTTAATTTTAGCTTTTATATTTATAAATAGGATTATTATTTTTTTTGCCTGGATTTGCAGCTGTTGTGTTACTGTGCCTCTTGAGAACTCACTTTTGGGTTTTGGGGTTTTGTTTGGTTTGTTGTGTTTTTTTTTTTTAATAGGCAACTTTCTGAACTACTGCACTGATTTAGTACCTAAGATGTTAGAGTCTGAAAGCAGTGTAGTGCAGCCAAGCTGATAGTACCTTTATACAAAGTAGTTACATGAATAAAAGGTAGAAACATACCTGAGTAAGCACCAGTATTATTTTGATCTGTTGAAAAACAAATGTATTTACAATCTTTTTAATAATAGTTCATAAGAATTTACTATTGACTTAACCCAAAATGATGCTTGTGTCATTTGAGATGTGTTGAGAAATGACATAAATCTTCTTATGTCAAGACATAAGACTATTGCAATAATCTCCATACAGAGTTTGTCTTGCAGCTTGTTTCGTTAAGAGTACTTCAACTTTATTTCCACACTTACTGTTGTTTCAGAAAGTTTTAAAAGGAGATTAAATTTTAAATTTTACCCTCCACTTCCAGCTCCACAATTTATAAACTAATGGAAAAGGATAATTCTTCAGCAATGTTGGTGCTTAAGTTGTACAATTAATATGGAACTTTTTTAAAAAGAAAATTTACTATATGTTGCTGTGTTAAACACAGAACTAGAATTCATTACTTACTTTCTGTGAAACTTTTTTTTTTTAGGTATTATGGCAACTTGACATATTTCGACGAAGTTTAAGAGGTTTAACTGGACATGTGTGTCAGGGAGATGCCTGCATATTTTGTGCTTTAAAGGTAAATAATAATTTCTGGAATCTTTCAAAATGAAGGAAAATTAATGTAATTAATTTTTACTAAGTTCTGTCCCTAACATGCGTATGTCTGGGTTATTCTTGTGTAAAGAAGCAATTTAGATTAAAGGATATTTGTGACATGTTTATAACAGAAATAATTTGTGTTTAAAGAAGAAATTTTACATTTGACAAATTTTACAGCCTGCTTAAACATAGAACTTTTGTATATTAAAAGTGTAGTTTATTTGAAAATTTCTAGCTAGCCTCTTGAGATTTTTTTTTGTTCTGTTGGTTTGCATATGCTTTTCTTCTTTCCTGCAGTGTTTGAATACAGTTATTTTACCATAACTGTATTAATGCCTGGTAAGGTCTCAAGATTATTTTTTTTAAGTAGTTGATAGTAACACTTCAGAGCTTAATTGTTCATCAATAATGAAAGGCAGATAATGATACTGAAAAATTAATGAAGGCTGGTAACTTTTTAGTGTTTGAAAGTAAGTCAGAGCTGCATATCTGAACGACTGCATAAAATTTGTGCTTCAAATAATTTTGTAATTCATCTGAAGTCTGTAAACAAATGTCAAGTTCTGTTAGGTTCTTGTTGCTTTTACTGCACTGGTATTTGGCTGCGTTCTGGTTCATTTGGCTAAAAATCCCAATGAAAAAAATTATTGGTTGGGGTTTTTTTAGTAGTATGCCCTTTCTGCTGCCAATAAAGACACTTTTGGGATTCTAATACAGGACTGTAGAATGTATAGTCAAATACAGTAGTAGATATAGTGATATACAGAACTGGGAATCACTCATCTGGAGGGAGCTGAAAGGGGCAGCACTGTTTGAAAATCTACTCTGTAGAGGAAGTGGTTTTTGATGATGCTAAATTGTAGGCAAGGATAAGCCAAGTATTTTGGAGTTTATTCTTGGGGAATTTCACAGTCCAAACCTTGTTACTGTTTTAGGCAAGAACTGTTTGCAGTGGCATTTATTTATCTTTCGGGAGGTGTATAACGTATGTTCTGTGTAAGTTTTTTTTCAGCCAGTGTTTAACATGATTGCAGTATGGTACAGCTGGTTTTGAATGGGTGTCTTGTCTTTTTCCCAATAGTTTTTTTTCCTAAAAGTTGCTATTTTATCTCTTTGGTTAAAATGGTTCTTTTAAAAAAGCCAGCAAGTTCAAGTAGGTTGAGACTAGACATGTTCAGACTAATGTCCTGGGTTTTTATGTCAACCTCTTAACAAGCTCTGTATGTCACAGAACTTGTTTGGACTTTATGTTCTAATGTTCTGCACATGATGCACATCATTCTCTTCAGTGTGCTGGAGCCTTGATCTTATTAGTACATAAAGTTCAGACCATAACTCAGGCACACCTATGTTTTCAGAGAATATCTTTTTTGTCTGTCTTGGGATGATAGCTTTAGTTTCCTGGAGTTTTGTGTGTATAGGGATTCATGTTCATATCTGATGTGATAATACAGAGTAAACTTTATAGCCTTTTCCTTTGGATGTGATGTATTGCATTTGAAGTTCTGGTTGCATACAGCCTTGTTCAGTGCTGTACCGTGGAAGTGCCTTTAAGCAATGCAGGGGCTTGAAGTATGACAATTACTGGAATGTGTGTACATACTCCTCATGACTAATCAGATCCCTGAGATCATAGCAAAAAATAATGTAGCAGCTTCAGTTGCTCAGAAATATGAAGAAGGCAGTGCTCATGGTGTGTTGCAATTGAAACTGTAAGTGATGAATCATCCTATCCTAATGGTGCACCTGTGAACACTAGGTGCTTATTTCTTTTTCAAGTTAAACATGCCACTTGCTGTACCTTAATACCCTCTCTCTTCCTGTTGTTCTTGGGGCTCCAGGACAAAGTGAGACAGGTTTTGCGTTATTTTAAGTCACCTTCCAAAGGAATATACTGACTTCAGCTGCTTCATAAGGCTGCTGTAATTTAGGACTTGAAATTTTCCTTATTCTTTCAAGTATCTGTCTTCAAGGGATTGGTTACTCCTATGATGCATCTTCTTGTGGAATTTATCTTAATGGCTTTCTGTACCTGAATATTTTGCATTGGCTGGACTGCCAAGTCTTGATTTGGATAAATTCCCAAGAATACTGATAAGAAGTGTTATTGCTGCATGTTCTGAAATTTATTAGAATGGAATTAGTTATTGTTTTACCAGTATATTTGTGGTATTTATAACTCCCTGGCCAGTAGCCTAGGTACTGAGCTCAAAACATTGTGGTTAACTCATTTGGAAGTGTCTGTCCTCAGTCATTATGTACAGTACTGGTTTTGCCTTGGCTTTTTAGAGATATTGGTTGAGTGATTCGGTTTGTTCTGTGTTCAGAACCTGGGGCATTTTGATTTTCATGCAGTGTATATGTTGGATGAGGATGCATTTCAGTAACTTGTTTGTGAGTTGTGTTGGTGCTTTTTTTTGTCGTCTTGGGCCATTTTAACCCTTCTTACTTGTTCACCAATAAAGATAGATATTTTATCTACAAACCTATAGGTTTGTCTTTAATCCTATAAGCTAACAGTATAGCAAATAATTAGGGCTTTCTTCAGTTCAATCCATTATTTTTGTCTTTTGGCAGTTTTCTGAGAGTTAAATAAGCTCTTTTCTTCTCTGGATAACAATGGGGTGTGACTTTGACTATGCAGACCACTAAAACAAGCATATATATCTGCATTACTGCTTTATCTGTACTTTTTTATTTTAGATGTATGTGTGAGGCTTTTGCATACCAAAAATGACCTGGAAGCCACAGTGAGAAGTGATAGAAGTTTTCAAAGCAGAGTTGACTTGTGTCAGCAGATCTGTTAATGCAAACATTCAAAACTAAGTTTTTGAGATACTGAGTAAGATTTTTACCGATAGTCCATGCTTGTTGTTATGTGAGGGAAGTTTAAATATTTGACACACACCCTGGAATGCATCAGGGTTAAAAGACCACTTTCTGTTAGCATTGCAACTTTGTTACTCTGTTGTGTCTTTGCCTTCTGTCAAACAATTTTTTTTTTTAACCATAGGAAGCCTTCGTGAAGAATGCAAATCCTTACTTACGTTTTACATGGCCTCTCCTGATTTGCTTTGTCTTTATTCATTTTTCTTTAAAGCTTGACTTAAAATTCTTGACAGTGGATTACACATTTTAATATCTGTAGAAGTTTTCTCATTCATTTAATAGCTTTTAACTTTCAGTTCTTTCAAAATCAAGCTCCCTTACTTGCTGAACTATGAGGTCACTTGCGTATGTTTCTCTGTCAAAAATAGAAGTAGTAGCCAACTATCTCTTCTGGGAAATTAATGAAAAATTAAGTGCAATCTAATACCATGTTCTGGAACTGCAGATGTTGACCTGTTCTCTTGTATTGTGTGCACTGGTTCAGTAAAAAGCTGATTTAATAGGAAAGATATCAACATTCTGTCTAATTTATGGGAGGCTTTTTTGCATATCTGTAATTTTAATAAAGATAAGCTCCTGTCTGAAGTAGAAACGTAAATGTTGCATTATTTAATGAATGATGGGTGTTAAACTAGATCAAGTGGTACTACATTATGCCCTAGGAAATACACACTATCTGTGAAGATGGCATATGCATGACCTGCTATTCCAGTGGCCGAATTGAAAAAGCTGCATAATTACAGACCAGGGCTTGTATTACGTCTGGGAGCTGAAGTCAAGGACTTGCATTTTTCTCTACTTCTTTGTTGTTTTTCTGCTGGATCAAAGTTCACTTTTGGTAGCCCAACTGCTTGTAATGGAATGAGTAACAGAGCATGGAACCTAAGTAATTTTGAGAGAAAACAGTAATTTCTGAAGTTGCATAGCTGTATAAATATTTGATGTATTTGTTGTTTAGGTGTGCTGCACAAGAACTGAGGTATTTGTGTAGAACCATAGTGCCTAGTCAGATGACTAATCAACTTGAATAATCATCTATTTTCCTAGGCAATATTTTCACAATTTCAACACAGTCGAGAAAAAGCACTCCCATCGGATAATATGAGACATGCCCTGGCAGAAAGTTTTAAGGATGAACAGCGCTTCCAGCTTGGATTCATGGATGATGCAGCAGAATGCTTTGTAAGTTATTTGGTGTGATGGTTTAGCAGAATTACATTGGTTTTGGGGATGCTGAGTCCGCCTGTTGTTTTGGTAGCTCCAGGCTCACAGGTGGGGTATAAGTGACATGTTACTAGTGACTTTCATATGCTGGTTTAGAGGAGCAAACACATGGAGCGGGGTGGAGTAATCTTGCATCTGCTCCTTACTTTCTTCCCTAGCTCAGGCAGAGGGATTTGTGAAACATTTTTACTACAGGAGGTTCATGAGAATAATGAACTCTCAATCACTCCTGCAAGTTTTTGCATGGAGAGAAGGGTTATTGTCTCAGAAAAGGTGCACTTATGGATTTGAATGTATGTTCTGTTCCTCCAAGTATTCTCTCATCAGCTATTGAAATATATTCTGTTAAAACAAGCCAGCTCATTACCAAAGTCTTCTGCAGAAGATATTTTCATTTTCTTATCCAAGAGTGAACAAATAAATATATTCTGTTAAAACAAGCCAGCTCATTACCAAAGTCTTCTGCAGAAGATATTTTCATTTTCTTATCCAAGAGTGAACAAATAAATATATTCTGTTAAAACAAGCCAGCTCATTACCAAAGTCTTCTGCAGAAGATATTTTCATTTTCTTATCCAAGAGTGAACAAATACTTGAAGATCATGACTGCTGCTGCCATGTGTCTCATTGAAAAATGTGAGCCGTTACTGCACCATAAAAGGTGACTCAAAATTGCACAGAACACTGATAAAGAAGCCTTTCTAAGACATTCTCCTGTATTAGACAACAAAAATTGTTTACCATTAAAAAAATAAATCAGTATTAACCTTCAGACACGGAAAATGTGGTTGCTACTTTGATTATTTTCAGTTCCGAACATCCTTTGGTAGCATCCACAAATATTTACCTACTAGGTGCATTTTCACATACACAGGAAAATTCAATGGAGAACTCCTGAAAGTGGCTGTTTGAGATCTTGCAGTCAGATTAATGGATTGCAGTAATGAAAGATAATCTTTCGTTAGTGCTCTATCTAATCAAAATACATTTGGAACCCTGAAGTAATGAGCTCCCTAAATGATCTACCTGAAGATTCTCTTCTTACCACTTCCCCTAGTATTTTTGGCAAAAAAAAAAAAAAAGGAAAAAATGGCCATAGTGATTCAGGGGCCAAATTGATGACAATCAAAATACTTTTTTCTTTTCATTTCTTTTAAGGTAAAAAGTGATACCTGGGATATGATCAGGCATATGCTGTTTAAGAGCTTTTTCATGCTTCTGTCAATGGTACTTGTTGCGCTGGTGCTTGTGCTAAATGTGATCAGACGATCAGATTGATATGCAGAGAAAAACATAAAAATTAAGAAGAAATGTGACAGAGGCCTGATCCAAAAAAATATTTTTGTCATTGCATGCAGTGACATTAGTGTCGTGTCTTACTGTAAGAACAGATTTTAATTTTTTTCCTGAAGATTAACTTCCTCCAAAGGAGAGTGCAGTTTGGAAAAGCAGTTGGGTAACTGTTGTCTAATGCTGTTTTGTTAATGTTTGGAAACCTTGAAATGAAAAGAATTGCCATCCACCGGTTTGTGAATGGGGACAGAATTAAATACACAATAAATTTGTAGTTGGACTATTTGGAGCCAAGAGGAGCAGTTGGAGTATTAAAATGTAATGTTGCTTGTATATGCTGACTTCATCAGTTTGTATTTGCATTATTATTTCTATTCAGGAAAATATCCTTGAGAGGATCCATTTTCACCTAGTGCCAAACAGTGAAACAGATATGTGCACCTCCAAATCCTGTATTTCTCATCAGAAGTTTGCTATGACTCTGTATGAACAGGTCAGACATTTATTTGATTGCTTTGACAAATAATTTGTTTCCACTCTCCTGAGTAAATAAGTGTTTTGTTTTTTTAGTGTGTGTGTCGCAGTTGTGGAGCATCATCAGACCCGTTGCCTTTTACGGAATTTGTGCGTTATATTTCTACCACAGCCCTTTGGTAAGAGCTTCTACTCCTGCATCTCACTGC